TGGCAGGCTGTGCACACAGTATGCCTGGTTTGGGCAGGTTACTCACATGGCCTGACTTGGTTTGAAGCAGAGAGCTCACAGAGCCTGACCTTGGGGACCTAAATAAGCTCTCATCTTTTTCTTTTCTTTATCTCTTTCCAGAAATACACAAGGGAAATCTTGAAGGTATACAGCACATCTTGCTGGAGTATGCATAACTCTGCATCTATCCCTGAAACATCACCTTTAGGTTGTATTTTGCAAAATTATGACAATTTTAAAATGGAGATTTTTAAAAAAGAAGAACATGATTTTTTTCAATATGGGGTCAATATAAGTTAGAAAGTGGGAAGACATGGCCTCTGAATGGAACCCCAAGGTTTTTTTGGTACCGGGGATTGAACTTAGGACCTTGCACTTGTGAGGCAGACACAGTGCCACTGAGCTAAATCCCTGGCCCCCAAGCTTTAACACGACATTCCAGCTTGATTTATTCAGTAGGAGGTAGGGGAAATGGACAGAAATCCCATACATCCAGGTTTTGATGACCTTATATCAAGACCCACAGTTACGTGTATCCTATACAATCTGTTATGCCCATGTGGCAGTAGAACCAGTCAAAATGGAACCAGACCCTGTAGAAGTTGAACTCTTGAATACCCCAGAGAGAGCACCCTGGATGTTTATGGCATCAGCATCAGAGTCTCCAGAGGGCCCTGAGGAGAGTTCTGAACCAAGCTCAACTATTTCCTCTACTCCATCCTTTCACAGGGCCACTTCTCCACCTTCTTCTAAACCTATTTACTTCCCATTACCAAACAAATCCAGCCCTGCTGATATAACAAGAAGCAGCACTTCTTATCATCCCAATGATTCAAAAGTTAGTGTGTGTCCACTTCAAGAAGTCACAGGGTAGGGTCAGGGTTTTATAAGAGGACATGTCTCATTTTCTATGAGTGATCTATTCCAAAGTAAACAAAAATTTGAATGGTTCTCCAAGAACACAGGTAGATTAATAGATAAATTTCAGACTGACTTTAACTCAGAGATGGCAAAACTTTTAATGGTGAAGCCCATCCGACCTCCAGTGCTGCTTGACAAAGTTCCAGCTGGGGGAAAAGGAGGGTGGAACACATCGTACCCTCATGTTTTATTTTTTTCACGCCATAATGTTTACAATTGTTACTCTGGTCACAGGAATCATTGTGTTTGTGACTAACAACATATTCTCCATGAGGCAAATTGGCAATGTTGTATTGAAATTTGATCTGGCTCACAAGTCCCAAATTCCTGTTTCTTTTAGTTCTATTGTCACATCCACTTCTAAAGAAACCTCTCCTGAAACTCCCTCTGTTTTCCTGCTACTATAACTCCTTTCTTCTATTGATGACTTTCTTTTTACTAAAGGGGTCTTATAAAGAGACTGAAAGGACAGATTTTAGATGTAAGACACAGTGGGAAATGGGAAATAGAAAGAAAGTTAAGACAGATAAATACACTAAGGAGGCAAGTTACTCAGCTTTTCTCAAAGTACTGTAAACATCTCCTGCTCATGGACCATGAACCCAAATAACACTTAAGTAAGATGAATAGAGGTATAGAAAAATAGAGAGCTAATAGCAAACTATATTAACCATTGTGCAGTTTCTCAAGGGTCAGCTGACAACCACAAGTTTGACATTTAATTAACTAAATCTTGCTTGTACCCCCGCTGATATAGAGATTTTGATTAAGTTACCTTCTGTGCTGCTTAGGTGTGGGTAAATAAGGGGACAATTGTAATTTTTAAAATGTATTCATGATGGTCAATGAAATGAATCAGCTTAGGAAAAATATACTCTGTTTAGCAAAAAATAACCTTTACTTCAATAGAAATTGCTAAGGCAACCTAAAATGTAAACATGTTCTGCCCAATGCCTCCTAGCCATTGCTTAAAGATATAAAAATAAATCAGACCCTGAGACTTCTCAGAGGGAACCTGCACATTGCTTGTGAAGGTTCTTTTCTCACTCGCCGGCCCGGGACCTCTCCCCTTCCTACCCTGCATCGACTGCAGCTGGTCTGCGGCATTTTAATGATACAAACAGCCCACTGTGGCATGCATGCCATAGGGTTGCCACCACTGCTTATGATCTAACTTGGACAGATTTTCATGAACTGTTTCTCTTTTGATATGCCCCTGAAGAAAAGGCATAGGCAGCAGCACAGGCTAAGGCTGATGAAGTACATGCCTGAAATAATGACAAAGGTGTGGGTACAGTTGCAGCAATACTAGACTGCAGATAAGGGCTGTGAGAACCATGCTGAAATATTACTCATTTGATTGGTGGGATGAGAAATTGTATGAGTCAGCCAGTCAATCATGAAAAGACTAGGGAAATCGCCCAAGACAAGGAAGAAAATCCTGGGTGCTTAACTGACTCTCCATAAATATACTAATATTGAGCCCAACTCACAGGCAGGACAAATTTTATTGGGAACACATTTTATTAGCCAGTCTGTCCTAGATATTTGTAGAAAGTTTCAGAAGGAAGCTATGGGAGCTCAGATGCCTATTAAGGAACTTTTTTTTCTGGTACCCAGGATCGAACTCGGGACCTTGTGCTTTCGAGGCAGGCTATGGAACCGGTGAGCTAAATCCCCGGCCCTTAATGAACTTTTAAACTTGGCCTTTGTTGTTGTTAACAAGGACAAAGTAGCAGCAAATATCAAGGCCCAGGAGAAACAACCAATTTATTGCTTTGGCATTAGAAAACAAAACCCTGTCTTCTCAGAAAGATGGCAAGAATCCACATACAAAGAGAGAGAATAAGAGATTAGATGGCTCTACTGCTATGGAGAGCCTGAACACTAGTGAAAAGACTGCAGTAAGTGCGGCTCTTCACCTGGGATGTGCCCCCGCTGTAAAGAAGGAGAACACTGGAGGTGAGACTGCATTCTCACCTGCTTCCAGTTTGGCTTCCCTGGAAGATTGAAGGTGCCCAAGTTTTCTCAAAGTCCCTCTCAATAAAGTGGACATCACTCGGCAGGAGCCTCAGGTAACTTTTCATGTGGTGGGTAAAGATACTTTTCTTGTTGTTGGATATCTGGGCATCAATATTTGCCTTGCTCAAATTCCCTGGACCCCTTTCTAATAAGAAAGACCTGTGTTGTGACTGGTGTTGATGGTATCCTTAAGGCCAAAGCTTTACAATGCCTTTAAAGTGCAGATTTGGGGAACTTATTTTCACTCAAGCTTTCCTAGTTTTCCCAGAATCTCCTATCCCATTGTCAGAAAGAGTTTCTTTTGCCTGTTTAGGGGCAACTCAGCCAAATTGTACCCCTTTGTTGGAAACAAAAAAAACATACTTATGATAAATGGGGCAATGCCATATGGAACATGGGACGGATTCCTACCCAGAGCTGTAATCACACTATTGTATTAAGATATAATGACTTGTTTGCTACTGACTGGAAGGCAAGAGCTGGAATAAGATGGCCAGGCCTTGACGGTACCCAGTGGCTCTTTGGCACAAACCTATAGGTTTGGCTGCCTGCAGGGTGGATAGGAAGATGTACATTAGGTATCCATGGGTCCAAGGGATCTGGGTTGACACCATAGATTGACTAGCCAACTTCCCAGTCTTGTGACATTGATGGACCAGATCAGTTTTTTACTGGTATAATCATTCGGGCTTTATCTTTATTACCCAAACAGGATTTGAGAATGTAATGAGGTACATTGAATCTATTTATTTATTTATTTGTTGAGTTTATTGGTACATTTTAGGTATACATTATGATCACATTCCTCATTGGGAATTTGTACCCATACATGATATATCTTGGTTCTTATTTTTTTGCCATTCCCCTGCCCTCCCTTCAACCTCTCCCTATTTACATAAGCTTTATTTCCATTTTTCCTTCTTTTATCATTTTTTCTTTCGCTTCTTCCCCCCCCGCCCAGTTCCCCTTCCCCTTTGAACATTTTCTATTTCACAATATCTATTATGCATTCTGGCCCTCATTTATACTTTCAGTTTCTCACACCAGAGAAACAATTTGGTATTTACACATGTGTGTCCTATTTATTTCACTTAGGAGTATGGCCTCAAGATGTATCCATTTAGCTATAAATATCTCTAGTTTATCTTTCTTTATGGTCGAGTAGTACTCCATTTTATAAAAACAAAAACATCTTTATCCAATGACCAGTTGATGGGCATTTGGGCTGTTTCCAAGATTTAGCTATTACAAACTATGCTGCTATAAACATGGGTTTTCATATATCATTGTGGTATGATGCCTTTAATTCTTTTGGGAATGTATCCAGAGGTGGAATAGCTGGGTCAAATGGGACCTCTAATTGTAGTTTTTTGAGGAATCTCCACAGTGATTTCCACAGTGGTTGGACCAGTCTACATTCCCACCAGTGGTGCAGAAGGGTTACTTTTTCCCCACAGCCTCACCAGCATTTGTTATTGCTTGATTTCTCCATAGAACCCATTCTTTCTGGAGTGAGATGGAATCTCAATATTGTTTTTATCTGAATCTCTCGAATGACCAGTGATGTTGAACATTTTTTTCATGTTTATTTGTTGCTTCTACTTCTTCATCTGAAAAATGTCTATTCATTTCAGATGCCCATTTTTGGATTGGATCTTTAAATTTGGGGTCTGATTTTTTTAAGTTCTTTATATATTCTATAGTAGTCCTTTGTCTGAGGAACTGCTGGTAAAATTTTTTTCCCGCATCGTAGGTTATTTCTTCACTCTGTTGGTGATTTCTCTTACTGTGTGGAAGCTTTTTAATAAGATGAGATCCTAGTTGTTGATTTTTTGTGCGTTTCCATGCAACTGAGGTTTTGTTCATAAAGTCTTTTCCTATGCCAATGTCTTCAAAAGTTCCACCTAACATATCTTCCAGCAGGTTT